AGCAGGAGCAGTGGTGGGGGCAGGTGGGGTTGTGGGGTGGCCGGGGAGCGGGGGAGCATCCCCAGGAGCAGAGGGACGGCTGCTGGGAGTCGGGCTGCGGGTGAGGTGCATCGTTAGAGGGAGATGCTGAGCTTCTCTCCAGAGCTTCGGAGCTGCGCGGGGGAGAAACGGCTCCTCCAGGCTCCAGCTCCGGGCTGTGCTCACGAGCCAGTCGGTGGTGGGTTTGCTTGAAATGCAACCGGGGTGCAGGGAGAGGTGCTGGGGCTGTCCCTGACCCCCCCTGCAAAGGCAGGGGTCCCTCAGTGTCCTCCCCCGAAGCCCGGCTGCCCCTCGCTGTGCTCCTGAGGGGGTGTGTGGCTGTGGGACCCCCCTCCCGTGCCATGTCCACCCGTGCTGGGCTGTGCCCCTGCTCCCTCGGGCTCCTCATCCTCACAGGAGGAAGGAGGCACAGAAGAAAGCAGAAACCCCACCAGCCTGCCCGGACGGAGCCCAGAGCGCAGCTCTGTGTCCTCTGAGACCCTCCCAGATCCACCTGAGGTTGTCAAGACCCAGCAGGATGGGTGGAACGATGTCCATGGGGCAGGCAGGAGGATGCCATCCTGCCCCCCAGCCCCCTGCCCCAGTGGGGTCTGTGCTGGCTGTGCCTTCATCCTGGTGAGGATGGTGATGATGAGAGCAGAGAATCCTTCCAGGCTGGCTCTGGGCCACTGCTCTGGCTCTGGACCAGTGTCCGAGGGGCACCCAGGGCCAGGGTGTGCCCAGGGCAGCAGGGACCATCCAGGCCAGCCCTGAGCTCAGCTTTGCCTTCAGTGGCTCTGGGCACGCAGCAAAATCCACCTGCACGGTGGCACCGAGGAAGCACCGTCCTCCCCATGGGGTCCCGGGCGCACCTGGGCTGGCAGGTGCTGCACCAGGACCCCCGGGTGCTGGAGGGAGACGGGTGCTCGGGCTCCTCTCCGGGCCAAGAGGCAGCACGGTCACTCCTCAGCTTTTACCGAACAAGAAAAATACCTTATATTTGTGTAGCACTTATCTGCCAGTGTATTCCAGGCAATGCCCCAAAACAAACAGCGCCAGACAATGAAACACAGATGAATCGGGTGCAGATTCATGTAATATTAAAACCAGACAACAATTAAACAGAAGAAACCAGCAAGCATAAATCAATCCCATGCAGCAGGCAGGAGGCTACGGGCCACGGCACCGGGGCGAAGGGGACGGTGGTGGCAGCTATCGGAGAGCGCGCGACTTTGTTGACTCTGATTAACTTTTTCTGCCTGTGGTGATTTTTTTTTTTTTTTTTTTTTTTTTTTTTTTTTTTTTTTGCTACAAGCAGGACAATGAGCTACCAGCATCAGAAATAATGGCCAGCACCTTTTTGTCTGATAAAGAAAAAATCCAGCAATCCCTCCCCAGTGGTAGAGGGGTAAATTATAGCAAGTTTCCAACAAAAAAAAAAAAAGCCAACACATTTGCACAAAGAAAATGCTTGCCTAATTTGTCCAAGTAATTACTGAGCCTGGCTTGATGATACAGATACCTCCAGCTCTGAAACGCTGCTGATTGCATCTCTGATTCAGGAAACGATCCCTGTTCCCCCAACATAGAAATCCGTGCTCGGCTGCGAGCGCAGCCTCCGATTTCCCCGGCTGCACAGAGCTCCAGGACACGATTTGCTGAGCAGAGAGGGACGGCAGTGCCTGCCACGGGCTCTGCTGAACCGAGGCCAGTTTGAATCCGAACACCAGTCCCCGGCAGATTACACGCTTGATTTAATTAGGAGCCTGTCCTCCCGTCAGGCATCCGGGGGGGATTAAAAACCGCCTGGAATTGTCGCCTTTTTGGGGCTCTCAGGCAGCTCCTTATGAGGGTTCTTGCGCTGGAGACTTGTGCGCACCTGAATGCATCGCAGCAAGAAAAAAAAGGAGGAATCCCAGTCGCTGGTGGCACGCGCCACATGTCAGGGCCACACAAGCCCCGGGGAAGGAGAGCAGGGTGTGGATAGTGGGGGCACGGCAGCCTGGTCGGGGGGCTCAGGTGAATCAGAACGTCCCAGGGAGGTGTGAGCCGGGGGGGCGCAGCGAAACGGCTGCTCCTGGGATGCTCCAACAGCCTCATCCCAGCCCTGGCCCCTGGTCCCCATCCCAGCTGCCTGGCACCGGGGGACAGGATGGGGCTTGGGGACAGGCGGGGTCTCGCGGTGATCTCAGCAGAAGCCTTCTGCCCCGGCGCATCCGTACTGCACATCCAGGACTAATCAATCTTGATTCATTGCTAATGAACTTGAGAACAGTGTTGGGATGGATCAGGTGCCACTCAGGGTGAGATGGATAATATAATTAAGGTTTCCTCAAAGGTCCCGTCTTTCTTACCTTGTTAATTAAGCTGATGCAGGGCCCTCCATGCGGAATGCATAATGAGAGGCTGTCGGAGACGGAGCTGGCTATTAGTGGGAGGTGATGCTGGGGGAAACGCTGGCCTTAACCACAAGGCTGGGGATATTTTGGCAGCTCCCTGGGGGTTTGGTTCCTCCAGGGTGGCCAAAAGTTGATCTCTGCTGAGAAATCACCGCATCCTTTGCACCACAAATGTACTTGGACCGCGCAAGGCTGAGCTCACAAGCACGGGGATGCAGGTGGAGATGGATGGGCTCATCCCTGCCCGGGACTGAGCACCACGGCAGAGCTCACAGCTCCCTGAAGCACCAGCCACGGCGCGGGGAGCAGACAGCTGCGAGCAGCCCCGCGGCCTCGAGGATCAGCTCTCACACGGCGCTGGAGCCGGCGGCGCAAGGAGGAGGGGATGCTGCTCCGCTCCCGATCACCCAGGCCCTCTTTTGGTACTTGCACTCTGGCGGTGACTTATGACAATGAATTAATGGCCTCTTAATAAGGGTGACAGTTCCCTTAATTAGAAAGTATCAGAGCAGGGATAATTGCCTTTTTTTTTTTTCCCCCTATATTACCTCCTTCATTTTTGGGTCCTCATTCTCAGCTCCTGGATGCCCGCCGGGGTCCTGCCTGCCCAGAGCCAGAAACGCTCCCGAGCCCAGCGGGCACGGCAGGGAGCCGGGAAGGGTGGAGCAGGGTGGACACAGGTACAGCTGCAGAGCTGCTGTTTTCACCGTGGCGGTGCCACGTTTGCAGCAACGCCGGGCGCAGGCAGCACCCAGGCAGGGTCACACCGGGATCGGTGGCACATGGGACAGGCTGGTGTAGGGCCGGGGGTCTGGCAGGGCTGGAGGAAGCGGGGAGACAGCATTTTCGGGCAGGGAACCCTCAAGTGATGAGCCCAGGGAGGGCAGGCAGTGCAGGCAGCGAGCGGCAGGAGTGGGGCAGCCCCACAGGGCAGCAGCAACCACTCGAACCCCGTCCAACCCGGCCTTGAGCCCTTCCAGGGAGGGGGCAGCCACAGCTTCTCTGGGCAACCTGTGCCAGGGCCTCACCCCCCTCACAGGGAAGAATTTCTTCCTTGGATCAGATCTAAATCTTCCCTCTGTCAGTTTAAACCCATTACCCCTCGTCCTGTCACTGCACTCCCTGATCCAGAGTCCCCCCCCTTTCCTGCAGCCCCTTTCAGCCCTGGGGGGCCGCTCTAAGGTCTCCCCGGAGCCTTCTCTTCTCCAGCTGAACCCCCCAACTCTCCCAGCCTGTCCTCACAGGGGGTGCTCCAGCCCCCCGAGCATCTCCATGGCCTCCTCTCATTTGGAGCCCCCCCCATCTCATTCGGGTCGACTGGTGCTGTTTCCACACCTGGATGCACAAACAGCTTTGCTGCGAAAACAAGCCCTGCAGAAACATGTCGAAATATTCGCAGCATTTCGCTTGGGCCTTTTTTGGAAGGGAAAGTTCTGACACAACATTTCCAGGCTCTGTGTTTGCACAGGCTGTTAGCAGGGGGCTCCAGTAAAAACTTTCAAACACCCCAAACAAAATGAGCTGCTTCGCTGCCCGTCAGAAGATGCTTTTTTTTAAAAACGAAGAAGGGATTTGGGGGTTACGCAGCCACACAGCTTCATCAACAACCTGCGGTCCCCCAGTCCCACCCCGCGCCCCTGCATCTCCCGCTGCCCTCCATGGGGCCGCGGGTGTCCCAGGGACCCGACCCCCCTGGCTCGGGCTGGCTCGCTGCGAGAGATGCTCCCCACACCAACAGGACCCTGTAAATAATAAATAGCAGCCTCAGGGCTGCTAGGAGCTTCGGTTCTCTCTGCAGTCAAAAGCGTTTCCTCTGTTAACCTTCCCTCTTTGCGCTGCAGCCATTTTGCTTTCTCGCCATATCTAAAATTAAATCTGTTAAGATTTTCTCTCACTCTTCCCCCCCCCCCCCCCCATTCAAGCACAGGGAGGGGGGAAAAAAATAATACAAAAAGCCATCAGCATAATTCATGGCTCTCACAGTCATCGCAGGCTCCAGTTTCCAATCAGAGGCCCGGCTGCGGAGCCAGCGCGCGGGGAGGAGGGCTGGGGCTGGCCCGGATGCTGCTTCACAAACCAGCAGCGATTCTCTCTTTGTTCTGGGATCGCTCTGCTCCAGCCAAAAGAGCCCCCACACAGCCCGTCCTGCGGATGCAGGAGCGCCGAGCTGGTCCGAGGGGCTTTGTCCACCCTGACTCCCAGGATAATAGGGGATGGAGCAGCTGCCGCGGGGGTTTGCAGGCTCCGGACCCAGCTGCCATCCTTTATCCCAGCATAAAGCCCTGGGAGACGTGGAAGTGCTGGGTCTCCCACCCTGGGCATCACCGTCGTGCTCTTTCCCTTGCCTGTCTTTGTGCAGAGTGGGCTGAAGTCCGGGCTCCCAGTCCCTCCCAGTCGCTCCCAGTCCCGTGCACTGAGCATCCCACCACCCCCCCGCAGGAGATGCTGGTGCTGGCCCCACACAGCCCCACGCGCTCAGCATTTAGCAGGGGGTTTTGAGATGTCTCCAGAGCCAGCGGCACGTGGGAGAGGCTCTGCAAACCCAGCATCCATTTTATTCTAATAGCGTCGGCAGTTGGAGAGGTGCTGCTGCAGCCAGCTGGGTTAATACGTGTTTTAAAGTTACTCGCTCTGCAAGAGTCTGATCCACCAGCCCTGATCTGGGCAAGGGGCACGGTCCTGGATTCAGGCATGAACAACCCACAGGACAAGCAAAGTGGTCCCAACATCCCTGCGAGGATCTGCAGTCAGAAAATCAGATGATGTTCTGCTTTTCCTCTTAGAAGGTTTTTTGTTGTTTTTTTTTTTTTTTGCTCATTCCTGGTGTTTTTAATGAGCCCAGGTGTCTTCGAGCCAGCGCTGACCCTCACTGGGGGTACCCGAGACCAATGCTGGGTCATGGGTGGGGGTCACCACGCTGGCCGCATCCTGGCAGACACAGGGGAGACCCAGGGCAGCTCTGGGTAGATTTTCTTTCTCAACACCAGCACTTCAGGCCGGAGAAGCGATGTCGGGAGTGCACGTAGGATGGCAGCACCTCGCTGAGCACACGGCCCGGCCGGGGACCGCTCTGATGGCAGCAGTGGGGGCTTCAAGAGGGCCGGGGGGCGTGGGGGGCTGTGGAGCCCGGTCTGTGCCTCTCTGGGGGCACAAAGCCAGAGGGATGTGGCTCCACGGCGACACTCAGCAGTCCCCACTGAGCCGAGGAGCAAGAAGGAGGCAAGGCACATGTGTGCCTGTCCCAGGTGGTACCTCGCTGGGTCACCCCATTTCACCCTTGCCCATGGCGGGGGGGTGAGCCCAGGGTTGCCAGCCCTGCTAAAAGCTGCCTTGACTTTTCCCTGCCCTCTTGAGGAGGCAGAGGCTCCCACCCTGCCCGCACCGCTGCCTGCAGCCCCTGCCCTCTGCGGGAACGGGGCAGAGGCGATGCAAAGAGCAGCCGTGCCAAACGAAACGGTCTCTGTGGGAAGCCCGGTAAGGCAGTCTGCGCCCCCAGATCCGCCTGATCCTGGCTATATAATTGTTTTTCTCCCCCCTCTCCTCCTCCTGGGGTCTGTATCAATTTAATTTACACGCTCAATGGCTTGGACTGCTTCATCCCCAAACACCTTCTCTGGCATTTACAGCCGCAGCAGGCACCGGGCTGCCTCTCCGCTGCCTGCTCCTGCCTTGAGCAGTGGTGACACTGGGAACACTGGGAACGGTGGGAATGGTGACCCAGGGGCCAGAGCACTGGGGAATCACCTCTCGGCACACGTGGCCCTGTTCTCCCAGTGGTATCGAGCCGGTCTGAGAAGACAAGTTCTCATCCACAACCCACCTCTGTGACAAAGCCGCGATGCAGGAGGAGGTGTGATGGTTTCCTGCGAGCCCCCACCGCTCTTCCTCCTTCTCCTCCTCCTCCTCCTCCTCCTGCCCTTCCCAGCACAGCTTTTCCACACCGGTACAACTCTGCACGTGAAACGAAGCGCTCCACCGCATCTGTTCCACATTTGCTGTTCTTTTCAAGTCCATTCCTTGGCCCCCTCCCCTCCACTCAGCAGGGCCTGAAAATAGCAACTGTGGTTGCCTTTATATTTGCATTATTTCAAAGTTTCTGTACTTCAACCAGGCCGTGGCCGGCCGCTCTCCAAGCCTCGGTATAACCCCCTGGCTGGCCGGGCTCCTCGGCATCTCCCTCTCACCCTCAACCCGCTCCTCAAGATGCAAAACTGTGCTTTGCAGATGCAGAAAATGAAAGCGGTGTCACTTCTGCACACGCGTGTGCGTGAATTCACACGTGCCCGGGGTGGCCGTTTGCGACATTACCAGGACGAGCAAAGACAAAGCGGGCACCGTTTGCAGCCTTATAGCGAGGGGGAGACTCTGAAGGTGCTGAAGATGCTGCCTGGTCCCAGCGGGGATGCGAAGCTGCCTGACAGCCCTCGCAGGCAGCTGCCTTCCTGCCTGCTGCAAGTTAACAGCTCTCCCGGCAGGCAGCTCGTTGGCTGGGAAGCAAAACCGCCTCGGATATGCCTCATTTTATACAAAGAAGGTGGGCTGTGCCTGTCCCTCCCACCCCGCTGATCACCCTCCGCTCCGCCGATAATAATACCTAGCAATTACACAAAGCTTTCCCTGCTCTCCGCAGACATTAATTAAGCTCTTTCCCCACGATGGAGACAAAGAGGGGAACCGCGAGGAAACTCCCAACTTGGGTTGGGGTTGGTATTTTGGGGTTTTTTTTTTCACTTTGATTTGGCGTGGCTCGCGCCACGGGGCCTCGTGTGAGCCACGCGCCAGCGATGGTGCCAGGTGGCCCTGACAGCGACGGTTGCTCTGGATTTTGCTCTCACGTGGCAAAATTTGTCTGCTTTTCCTGAATTTCTGGGCTGCTGCGGCCACTCGGATGGTGGTGCTGGATGCCGGAGCAGCTGTGTCCTCCCGGTGAGGCCGGTAACGGAGGCCGGTAACTTCCCGGGTGGCAGCGGCTCTGCAGGGGTGACACCCCGAGCCCAGGAGCCGGGAAAACCGGATCATCCCACGAGCACCGCGCCGGCCGCACACCCAGCCTCATCCTCGGGAGCCGGGGTGGTTCGCAAGGGGACCCCGAGCCTCCTTCCAGCTGCCTGTACCCCGGGGTTAGAGGGATGGATGGGCAGGACACCCTGCCTGCGCCCTGGAGGGGAGGATGACAGGCAGGGCACCCTGCCTGCGCCCTGGAGGGAAGATGACAGGCAGGGCACCCTGCCTGCGCCTGGCAGAGCAGGATGACAGGTAGAATGTATCCTGCGTACACCCCGGAGGGCAGGAGGACGGGCAGGGCACCCCGGAGGGCAGGAGGACGGGCAGGGCACCCTGCCCGCACCCCGGACAGGCAGGGCACCCTCTCTGCCCCGTGAGGGGTCGGGGGGAGCAGCCGGGAGCGCCGCCAGCCCTGCCCGGCCCGGGGCCCGGCCCGCCCTGCCCGCACCTG